GACAGCACATAACAACAACAACAACAAGAAGCTGCATTATATGTAACAGATTATGGATAAACTGAGAAGAATGGGAATACCTATATATAATCCAAAAAGTCCAAACAGAACAATGGAATATAGCATGGTGTAGAGGAAAGGTATTAAAGAAATGTGTTAATTGAATAAATGGTTGAGTTTATCCTCAGGTCTGATCAAAAGAGAAACAGAAAATAGAAATCTTAGAAACCTGCTATTATTGCCCAGGATCCCTGGTGGTGCAGTGTTACTCCTGCTGGGTTATTATAGAAAGGTTCGCTCCTCTCTCAGAATCAGCACAACGGCAATGAGTTAGCTTTGTAGCTTATTTTTGGTACTCAGGGAGCTTCTAGATTGTAAGACAGAGAATTGCTTCTACTAAAAACAATTTGGTTTCCATGTTAAGAATTTCCCCCCCCCAAAAAAAATAAGACTTATCAATGCGTCTCTCCCCTTCTTCTTGGAAAGAAATGTACTGGCCCTGCCTACTTCCCTCATTTGTTGTTGTTCTTGTTTTCTTTCATCTTTCTTTTTTTATCCACCACTCAATTTTACTGAAAATTACAATCACCAGGAAATACTTTACTTTAAAAAGTTCTATCTAAAACAACGTAAAAAAAATCACTCCTAAAATCAAATGTAGGCAAAATGTTGCCTGTAACACATTAAATTTTAACAAATCTAGAGGCATGTAAACTGGTTTCTAATACAAAATTTTTGAAAAACAAGTATGCATGTAATCGTTCACTTATTAACGATTGTATTCTAGAAAGAAAAGAAACTCAGACAAAAAAAATCCAAGTATCCTGTTCATATAGGGTAATTAATGTCCAGGAACACTTCAAAATCTTTACGAAAGGACCTTCCTTAATTGATTTTAGGTCAGGGTTGTTCTTGTTTTCCACTAGCCCACTTGCTGCAGGGCCAGCTCTCATGCACAGCATCCCTCCATCAGGTTCTGAGATTTCCTTAGGGGAAGACACTGCCTATCTTTCTCCCTACGTGTGGCTGGTGGATTCAAACTGCTGATCTCCCGGTGAGGAGCCCAGTGTCTTACACACCACACCACCAGGGCTTCTCGTTAAAGCTGCCATTAAGCTGGCTGGCTCTGAGTCATGGTGATCTTGTGTGTAACAGAACACAGCACTGCCTGGTCCCACTCATTCCTATGGCTCCACAGATGGCCAAGTCTCTAGGAAGACAGAAATGTCACGGGCACCCCAAATGCTCAAAAGCACTCCCTATGCCTCCTCTAAAGAAACCCTTAATAGAAACATCAAATTTTCAATCCCTGGGTGCAAAACAAAAACCAGTGAACAGAAAGAAGCATCTCACATTTTAAAAGAAATTCCTAAATATTAGTAGTTAACACCAGCCCTGTTTTTACATGTTTCAAGGATGCTCCTAGTTTTTGGTATATTGTTTCATTTAATCTTAGTGACAGCCTTATTACTTACCCTGAATTAAAATCAACTCATAGTGGCCTCCATGTGTCAGAACAGAAGTGAGCTCCTAGGGCTTTCCATGATCAGATTTTCAGATTTTTCAGCTCTTTCTTCAGAGGCAGCTCTGGGTGAACCTGAACTAGTCAAGCAAGTTCATTGCACCACCCAGGGGCACTAATGATAATAGACATATGACAATATTTTCATTTTAAAAGAAAAAAGAAGAATGATCTAAAAGGAAACTTAGCCAAATTAAGAGTAAGTGGTAAAGCTAAGACCTGCTCCATTCTCTGCATTGCTCCAGTATGTTCTACTGGTCTCTGGAAAAGAACACTACTCAACAAATCTGCTTGTCAACATCTTCTGTTCTAATGGAGGAGGCCTACTTCCCTCATTAAGCAAAATAAAGCACGCATCCCAAAAGCCCAAGTTGAATAGCTTGGAATTTGGTTTTAATATAGGTTTTAAATTCATATTATTAATATTTTTAAATTTCTGAACAAATAGACTTTTGACAATTGAATTTGTTGTCATTCACTGGTTTAAATAATAGAAGAAATTACAGAGCAGACCTAAGAGGTAAAAGAACAAGTAGTATCATCATTTACTGATGTCTTTCGTAGAGGCCACACACTGCCATTACATGGGTCGCAGGATGGTTTATAGCAACTGCCCGTTGAGTTTCTAAGGCTGTAAATCTTTGTAGGAGAAAAGTGTTCATCTTTCTGAAAAACCCCTCTGCTGTCGAGTTTATGCCAATTCAGAGTGACCCTGTAAGACACAGCAGAGCTGTTCGTGGGGTTTTGAAGGCTACAGAAATGTTGCTGTTATTGTTGTTATGTGTCATGGAGTTGTCTGTTACCCAGAATGACCCTCTGTACAGCAGCTCTGAAGCCTGCCCTGTCCTGAGCCAGTCTCACTGACTCTGACACACCAACTCCCACTGCCCTAGTTACTGTAGCAATCTGTCTCGTCCGAGGTTTTCCTCTAATCACTGTGCCTCCATCCTTCCAAGCATGATGTCCTTCTCCAAGGACTGGTCCCTGCTGGCCACATATCCAAAGTATATGAGACAGAGCTTCAAAATCCTAGCCCCCAACAAGAAACTTGATTGGAACGTGGAAAGTGAGAAGCATGAATTTAGGAAAACTGGACATTGCTATAGGAATAGATGGTTCAAATAGACATCCTTCTGGTTAACAGCAAATGCATTACCCACAGAGTCACCAGGGCCCTCTTTAGAGTGAG